TAGCAGTGGTTGTCCTGCAGAAGTCCCTTTTCAATATTGGACCACACGAGCTACAAAAACTCTTCTAACCATCACTGCAGCACTTCTGTACAATAATGAGCCTAATAGGTTTTGCGTTTTTTAAGTGGTGAAAAGCAAATTAAAAAAAACCCCAACAACAAAATAAAATGGAGAAATGTTTCTCATGGAAAATTATATCCCCTGCGCTCCAGTATTATTTCTGCTTTCCCTCCTTCCATGAACTTTTAAATATAAAAAGCTGTCAGGAAATGCATCTTGAAAGTGCTGGTGTTTTATGATGAAAACTTACATAGGCTGCATAACATACTCTGAAATCATCATTTCATAGAACTCATTTCACTTCCAAGTTCTTTGAGTTACTTTTTCTCCCTTAATGAGGATTTCTGCCTGATTTAGTGATTAAATTGATAGTGTTTAAGGTTTCCATTCAAGGCTGTACATCTATTAATGTTTGATTGTGCCAAGTCTTCTTCCTCATGCGAATTTTAGATTTTTTTCCCCCTTCTTTTCTTTTAACGTCTGTGTGTAAAAACCCTGAAGCCTGGTCTGAAACCGAGCCAGTTTGGCTGCTTTGGCCCACAGGCCTGATAGAGATGCAAATTGTATCGGCCTGAATTATTTTGGTGACATTGTTTGCAGCAATCCCTTGAACTAAACAAGCCCCACGGGAAGCAAAGTGTTTGGATGGGGTAACAGCAGTGCTGGCAAAGCTCAGCACAGGGGCTCTTCCATGGCATTTTCCATGACATGGCTTGGGTGGCACAGCTCTGTAGAGGCCAGGCCACTGGGCTGTGGCTCTTTTGGGAGATTCATGGCATTGTCATACCATTCCCTGTGACAAAGTTACTAATTTGAAATAGCAAACAGATTTCCTTTCTTGCCTGCAACAGGACTTAGTGGAAAAATGCTGTCCTATATTAAATGTTTGACTAGGCCGCCTGGTGAGTATTTTAAACTTAGTGTAGAGTTTTTTAAACTTATGCTCTGTCCTTTCTTGATATCCAATATAATGGTACTTACTTTGTCAAATACTTTGCTCTTTACCAACAAAGAGTCTCACCAAGCATTAGATGCTGCTGTTTGGTTTTCATTAAGTTACTTTTCCTGTACCTAGTTTCCCTGCCCAGGTTAAATTTGTAGCTCAAAATATTGTGGCTCAAATTCTGGTAATTTTAGGGTCCCCTTACCTCCCTTGGTCTTTATAATGCAAATAGGATGCCAAATAGGGTCAAAAGGGTCATCAGTATATCATTGCAACTTATCTTTTTATTTTGTACAGTTCTTTTACACAGACTTCTCTGCAGTGGTCCCTGTGTTTGTTTGGGGTTTTCTGTGTATACAGAAGGTTGCTGGTTTCTCTAAGCTGCTCCTTTTCTGCAGTGTCATTTGCACTGGAGGGATGAGGAGCAGCTTTTCAGTGTTTATGGAATGGACATCTACACATGTATAGCCATAGTAAAAAAATAATAATAATGCTGTGGTGGAAAATGTTCTAGTTTTGTCCAACACAAATGAACAGTCCCACTGAATACCAGTAACCACTTTCACTTTTGGCCTTGTGTATGGCTTGGTTACAGCAAGGCTGCAATGGAGAAGCATATCCTCTTAGGTTATAAATCTGTGCACTTCTTTTGCCTGTTTGTTAAAACATAAACTAAGCTAAGCTCTTGCCTTAAACTCAGCCACACCAAATGGTTCCCATCAGAATTTCCTTTGTTTTGCTGTTAGTAGATTCTCACCATGCTGTATGTTTGGATCCTAATAGGCTCCAACTAATCTGACAGACAAAGTTAGATCAGCAAAGTCCCAAAACCTTGTACCTTGCTAAATATGTACTATTCCCTTTATCTTCCCTGTACTTCAGGAAGTAGCTAGTGTCCTAAAAGCTGCTGATGTTATCTAAACACTTGTCTGGGTTGTGTAAAGAAACTGGCGGATTTAAATATCTCTAGGCATCTCCTAGAGGAGATAAACCTGTTCTCAGAAACCAAATTATTAAGATGACTTTCTGTGTCTGTTAAAAAGGGCCCAGTCTCGCTCTCCAGCTGTGCTGGGTGCTTTGGCATTGCTTGCAGTAAAATGAGTGCAGTTCCTGGATCTTGTGGCTGTACAACTTGATGTTCACTGGATACATTTTTTCATATTTTTGATCTATTTATTTTAAATGCAGTCTAGCTTCTGTATCCTGTGGCCTATAGTAGATACCAAGGGAAGAGCGAAGAAAAACAGAGGAAAATATATTGTGACATTTTTCTTGTGGAATTCTGCTTGTACCCCTAAGCTGATGCTGTATCCTCTTATTTCCCATGTTCAGACAGGTTCCACGGGTAAGGATTTTCTTTTTTTTTTTTTTTCCCCACTTTTTTCTTCTGTGTTACCACAGCTTCTTTGAAAGTCTTTCAAGAGACACCTTGCAAAACTCGTTGTGGAACTCCAAGTGGATCCATCACCTGTCTCCTTGTTAAACTGCTTCAGAGAACTTTGAAAAATTCTAAATAGATTTTCAAGGCAGGGCTTTGCTTACAAAAGCTGCTTCACATCTTAGCCACTGTATCTTCTTTATGACTCCTAATTCTGTTTGTACAGTTTTCCATCCGTTTGTTGGGATTGCTGGGGTTGCTTGTCTGTGGTTTCCCATCTTTTCTGTGTTCCTGACAACTCCTGGTCAAAGTGCTCCACACTGAACAGAGGGACACTATTTTTATCATCTGCTGTGTAGCTTCTCTGCCATCATTTGACATTTCATGTTTTGGTGTCATTTTCAGTGCAGAAAACATTGAACAGTTTAGTAGTATGAAGGGTATTTAGCATAAGCAGAGCCATTTTACAGCCATTTTACAAAAGATTCTTTGAGTTTTAAAACTTTTCTGCTTCAGCACAGAGAAATTTTCACAACCTTAGACATTTGCCCTTTCATATTTCTTGGGTTTTTATTAAAGAAGATTATCCTTAATTTTTTTTTTCCCCTTCTCCTTTCTCTTTACAAAATCTTGTGATATGCAGGGTGTGCTTTTGCAGTGATCAGTATGAGCTGATGTTCTGGGGAGGGTGGAAGGATTGGTGCCTGTAAGGTTTCTGTACTTCCTTTTCTTTTGCAGTACCTTTTGCTGTCTTACAAGTACTCTTTGACTGTTTAACTGCTTCTTTCTTTATGTTTCTTTTTTTATCCCTGTGTTTTTAATTGAATTAAAAATTGTGTCTCCTTGCATCAAATCAAATAATTAACTTTCATTAGTCAGAAATTATTATCAGTGTTTTTCAAAGAGTTTTTGTGGCACCTATGAGCAATTCATAGAATATTGAAATATGCAGGGTGGCCATTGCTATTGAGCCATGGCATTCCACTCCAGCCTCAGCTGGAGTTTGATTTTCATATTCCAGGGGAATATAGCTAGATGGCACAAGCCACATTTTATTCCTTACACTTTAGATTCCCCTCACCCCACCCCCCAATGTTTTTCCAGCTATTTTTATATTATTGTTTCCTTGTCACTTTAGAGCTATTTTGGGTAAAAATCACTTAGCTTCCTATGAAGTCTGCCTGAAGAATACAGCAGGGCAAGAACCAGGAAAGCACCTCCAGAAGAATTTTATTAGTTTACAGTCCTGTTCATGTCTATGAATGTCTGTGGCAGTGCCTCTGTGTGTTCTACTGCATCCAGCCAGGGGTGCCAATCAGCTGACCTGAATCTCTTCCAAATCTCGTTCCAAGGCTGTAACTTAAGTCTCAGTTTCTTTCCCTCCCCAGGAATCCAGTGTTAACTTGTCTTTCTGAGGTGCTTTAGCCCTTTGGATGGATGGTTTTCTCCAAGTGCATCACGGTTTGGCTTCGTACCACGATGCTCAGCTGGGCATCCTGCAACCCTTGTGCCAACGTAACAGAAAGCAGTTGTGGTATTTTTCTGTTCTTACTTGCTTGTTTTCTTTATCATTCTCAACCCCAGTTGCACACATCATGGCACAAGAGCTGTGGTTCTTCAAGATGAAAAATTGCTCCTCCAACGAAGCCACACGTAACAGCCTGAAGGTACCGAGGAGTTCAGAACTAAAGTTACACAGATCTTAAAATTGCTGATGTCTGTAAACACTGTTTTGCAGCAGCTTTTAATACGTGAAATGATGTGCTGCAGATCATGAATCGATCAAATTACAGCAAAGAGTGTGAGCTGACAGCAAAAAGCAGAGAATGGCAGCAATGCCTGGTTTGTACTACTTATCCCTGGGCTGACAGCGTTTTCAATCATAAATCTGTTTGGTTTATAACTAGGCCATAAAACTTTGTTTCAGGGTATTCTGTAGTGCAAAATTTGTGCTTTTATAGAGAAATACATCAGTAATTTGTTAATTAAAATTGCAGCACTTTAACAGTTATTTCCATTTCTTTTGCACTCTTATAACTTGTGCTTTTTGCACTCGATTTATGTTCCATGTAAATCTGTGTGATCTGTTCAAAACTTGCTGTCTCCTTGGCTTCATCAAATTCCTTTTTATATATATTCGTGTATATATATACACACTTATACTCACAGAAAATGCTCCTTCATACTTTTTGTAATTAGATGGGAGACCTTGCTCAAACTTCACAGGAGGTTGATGAGACTAAAGTGAGTTTGGGTTTGTTTTAGTTAAAAGACTGGCTGTGTATGGGGGTAGGAAGAACACAGTTAGTTATTAACAGAAACTGAACAAGGAATAATTTCAATCCTTAGCTTTGCTCTGTTCAAGTCAGGAGATTTAGTGCCAGTTTATCTCATGTTTCTTCATATTCTTAATGCTTCACCTGATCTGTTTGACACTGACCAGTCTTGCAGACAGGAAACAAGCATGTGGAGTCTGGCAAGTCCCCATGTTTCTACTGAATACTAGAAGTAGACCAGTGTAATCTACCTTTAAATGATCTGATTTTAACAATAACATAACTAAACATACAGCATACACATCCTGCAGCCCTCAATTAATGGAAAAACTAAGAGCTCTAGTTTAGAATGACAAGATCTTTTTATTATTATATCACTAATAAAACAAGGACGGTAGCATCAGAGGACTTACCATGATCTGTACCATCTCTTGCAGTCACATTAGAAATGATCTGTAAATCAATTTGACAGATTTCAGCAATTGGAGCAACATCTGTTGGATACATGCCCCAGTACACATGTTGAAAGGAATGTTCAGATTACCACGAGTTCAGAATCCATTCTGGTTTCTGCAGAACGCAGTGAAGTCAAGTGGAAGGAATAAAACACCATCAGTGAAAGAGGGGGAGCTGAACACCAGCTGACGAGAGACAGGTTACAAGCAATTGGCATTGTTTGTATGCTGAGCGGTGTGCACCAGGAAGAACACCCAAAGAAAGCTTTTAAGGCAAAATAGGTTATAGTTTCTTACTTTTTGATACTGGGGGGGGGGGGGGGGGCTGCAGCAGGACAGTGGCTCTTGGAGGCCTGCACTTCAGGTCCAGGCAGTGTTACAGAGGTGACACTGTTTTGCCCCTGACAGGGCAGTTCACTTTGTTTCCAGAGGATCAGGGTATCTGTCAGGCAGCTGCAGCTATTGCTATTCAGTTTTGGAAAGAGGAAGACCATGGGTTAAAAGGGGGTTTAAATGAGAGTGAGTTTGGTCCCAGTTCTACACATCACCTCTGAGGTTCAGCTTCTTGGATTGAGATGTTTAAAGGTAGTATCTTTGTTCTGGCTTTCACATTTGTCTAATAAGAGACACCTTCCATCACCTGAGGTACGTTTCATGCAATAGTTACTCATTACTTCGAAGAAATCAGAGGTTTGAGGCTTGTGAAGCAAAAGCAAAAATAATACTGTAACTGAAATCTTCTTTATTCTCAAGCCAAATGTAACCCAGTAATTCCCACTGGGAAGTTCCTTACACAGCATGAGCATTGTCCTTCCCCTTGGCTCACAGGGACTTGCCATGCACATGCAGGTACTTCATGGAAAAAAAATGCAAAGTTTAACTTTGCTCTTTTCAAGAGGACAACTTTGAACTTGTGGAATTCTTTTCACAGCCCAGCTTCAACGTGATCCAGAATCTCTGAGCTCAGTGATGATCTTGGAACTGTGTAAGGCAGAGATTTTTGCAAGTGCAGTGTTGTGATCTTTCTGGCAAGTATGGATGCTATTGTAGTACCTGGTAGTTTAACTTCTTCATTCCAGAAATTTGGTCGTGTTGTTTCCAGCAGTTGTGGCCTGGTTTGTAGTCTGTTGCCTCAGGAGGGTCTCTGTCAGCCTCTTGCAAGAGTACAAGCGACAAAACAGAACACAACCCCTCCAGCCTCAGCCTGGTACCTTCACTGAGAAGCACGCTGCCATAGCCAGTGGGGTTTTGGGGTTTTTTTGATAAATTTTGTTTGCCCTCCTTCCTCCCACCCCTATTTAAAAAACAGCAGCTTGACAGCACAGCAGCAAATGCACATTAATATCAAACAGAATTTTCACTACTGTTTTCATATTAACATGAGATGTCAGAATGTAAAGTGAGCTGGATCTGCACATGGGACCACTCTTGCCATTAAAGGCTTTAGGCTGGAACGGAGCCCAAATTTTTTAAAAGAAATGCAACATTTCCTGATCAAATATTAATTACATGCTATATAGAATTATATATTTCAAACAAATTTTATAAATAAAAGGCTAGGCCTTTCAAACCATCAGCAATATTAACTTTGCATTTGAAAGGTTATGAAAGATAAACAACCACATAACTGTGAATTAGAAAAATACTGGCCTAGGTTGCATAAAAACCTCCATTAAATAAATACTGTAAGTTTTCACTATGAAAATCCAGTGGCGTTGCACTTAAAAAAGCCGTAATGAATTAACCATCCGTTAATGACACCCGAGTTGTTGTTCACAAATCACGTACACACACAGGGAGTCAGGTGGCCCAAAAAGGTGACAGTTCAACACAAAGTACTCTTGGTATGTGCTGCTCCTCCATCACAGCTTCCTGACTGCTGCTGCAGTTCCCAGCTGCAGACCCTGTTCCCCTTCCCCTCCGGGTTGCAGTGCTGTCCCAGGAGGTCCAAAGGCTGGTACAGAAGGTGACTGTGACTGTGGCCTCGTGTGTTCCCCCCTCAGAGCAGCGGTTTGGTCTCGGGGTGGGTCACAGTGCGTGGCTCTGGTTTCCAGTCTGGCTGGAAGAAGTGGATGTTGAATGTCCGTGCCCAGTTCTCAAAGACTCGTTTCTCTGTGATGAACCGGTGGTGGCTCCCCTTGCGGCCCCGCTCGTGGGAAAGGTACATTGTGCACTCGTCAGGTCCCAGAGGTTCATAGTAATGATAAGGTACTGAAAGATGATTAGGATCCCTGTGGAAAAAAAGAAAACGGATGGAAGCCCAAGATGCTCCTTTTCACTGATTGAAAAGATGCTATCTTTAATAAACTGACGGGCTCAAATCCACTTTTTCTCCCAGATAAACCAAATTTCTAGGTAGTTGTATTTTTCTTGCATATTTAATATATGAGAATGGGGCAAAGGCGTTTTCTTTGCTCTTTCTATTGCTCTCCTTTAATCCTCTCCTCCCAGTTAAACAAAGGGCAGCAGTGGCTCAGAAACAAGGGAGAGTGCTGCAGGGCTGTGTTACTACACACGAAATTGGAAGCAAACTGCTTAAAAGAGATTTATATCGAGATTGTGAGTTGTAAAAGGTCTTGGAGAGGTATTTACTGAACTGGGGGAAGAAAGGGAAGAAGCCAGAGGGGAGGTGGTTATCTGTGTCAGCTCAGTTGAACATTCCCAGCACGGCGCGTGAGCTTCCAAGTGCAAAACCTCACCGAGTGTGTCTGCATGCCAGGTCAGTGGCACACTCTGCTGTTGCTGGGCTTTTAAGCAAAACAGCTGATGCACAAATGGGTTCTTTTTTATTTTCCTAAAGCAGCTTTCACATGTCTAAGCTAGAAATTAAAACTGTTCACCCACAGTATCCTTCTGACCTTGTGAACCTGTTTGCATTACCCGGCAGGAGACGAGAACTCATGTGGTGACACGTAGGGTAGGCCAAAGACCAATTAGATACTTAGGATAAAGTTTATTTTGGCATTCTAACCTCAATGTTTTGATGTTACATTCTGTAAAAGGCACATTTGTATTATAATAAGCCAGAGTGATTAATTCTTCTTTTGTTTTAATCTCTATACTAAACTGTACCCATTATGGTTTTTTTATCTCTGGATATGGTGTTTTGGCCTGACAAGAACTCACACAACCCTCTCTGTCATGAATTCAAAGAGAGAGACCTGTTCCAGACAGAATAACCCAATTGTACCGCTCTCCACAGTTGCTACCAAGTATTTTGTAGTGGCAGAAAAGTTAATCCAAATATCAGCATTTAGTGAAGCCTTGGAGCTGCTCTGTGTTAAAGCCTGAGCTGAACAGAACCCTGGTACAGAGCAAGAAATCTCATGCAGATTCCAGGCTGTCAGCTCTAATATACAGTTGATTATTTCCATTTTGAAGAGCTAATATTTAAGCTCACTTTCAATTGAATGCATCCACAGTCTGTCAGTGTTCTGTCCTGGTCATTATTTTTACTTGTAATTCTGTCACCTAAGCAATTCTCTAATTTTTCTTATTTTGCCATTATCCATACTGTGTATGCAGAGGTAATGTATGATATTGCTGCTGCTTTCCATTTGTGCCTTAGATTAACGTTTTAATTCCATCCATCAGGCTCCCTTGTAACACAACATGGTGATCAATCTTCCAAGAACGGAATAACAATAAAATTACATTTCTAGAATAAGATGGATTCTAAGCTTATTAAATATATTCTCACTGGAATATATAAGAGTGAAACAAAATCTTTCATTACCTTACCTACAGAAAACATATCTGTAATGTAAAAACTACCCTTCCTATAGAAATTTAATACTTTTAAGCTACAACTATTAAAGGTCAATCTTCAATTAATTTTTCACTTTTTTGATACACTGGACCTCTTCTTATTGTCACTTAATAATTTGTATGGTTACAGTAAATCTAACAGAATACATTTTCATGTGATTTATTTTTGTTAAGAACTACTAAACAGATAGGTCTCTGGATTCCCCTAGATTGCATGCTGGTAAACTTTGGATTTGAACTCTGGCTTGAGTAACTACACCATAACCCAAATTAACTGTGCTGTGTTATCTTCTAACTCTGCAATTAGCTTGTGTCACCAGCAAATGAAATGCATGAGTAATTTCTATACGGAAATTGCTTGCCACCTCATTTATTAACATTAAAACAGATGCTGTTTTATCACTGACTGATACTGGACATTAATCAGTATTTTGTCAGACTCTGCATGCATATTAATATCACAGCTGGGAGGAATCTGGGGAAGTTCCTCTGTAAAATATCCTACACTTCCTTCCTGGTAGCCTGCCAGCACAGCACCCGTGTAAGTGCTTGTACCCATGTCAGTCAGCTACTGTTTGCCACTTGAGTGCACATTTTCCCACAGATGGTGCCCACCCCCAGCCAAAGCTGAAAGCACAGTGAACACTGTTGGCCTCAAAAGAAACAAGGCAGAAAAACCAGGCCACGCCGTATCACATTCTGGTCAACCTCTCCCTTTAGAAATGAAGTGCCATTATAAATCAACCCTCTAAAACTATAGGCACTCACTCACTTTGTAAAATAATTCATATTTTGAAGGGTGAATAAAGTGTCATTAATATGTTGAGTGATGGGCAAGGTGCTGTGCCAGGACTATGAAGATTTCTGGATAATTTTTTTGCCTTCTGTTCCCAGGGTCCCATTTCTCTGACCTCCATTATTAGCCCCATTTTCCAAACCATTTATGCATTTTGTTATTAAGGTAATGAGGTGAAGCATATGGACCAAAGGGCAGGACTCTCTCACATACAGCTTAAAGTCCTGCGAGCCCCTCTTCTTCCATCAAGCCCCTCTTGAGCTCCAGGAAATGTAACTTCCAACAACTGCTTCTCTGCATTTGATTTAAAGGAACTGGAAGTGGAGAGAGGGAGGTAAAGAAAACACTAGATTTAAAAGCTGTACCCAAAGGAATAAATGAAAGTATTTCAAATGCCAATTTTCAGGCAAACAGGCCTGGCAGTCAAATGCGGATTCTTACAAGAAAATGATCTGGTTCCATAATTGGAGCAAAAATTATTCGTATTAGTTAAAATAATTAGTTAAATTAGTTAAAATAAGGCAAAAATACAGCAAGATGGCTTGTTTGTCTTGTGACAAAGAGTGAGAGGTGAACACACTCTACAAAAATCTTTGGGATGTGCACGGAAGCACAAAAGCTTTTATCTTATTACAGAATGTGCATATCAGAAATATTTAACAGGGTGAGAGCAATACCAAGCCATTAACCCTTACTACAGCATAAATCTGTAGTAAAATAAAGGGGTTTGAAATTTCATATAGCTTTGCTGTAAATTACTAAAAATTTATAATAATCAGGACACCAATTCCAGTTCAGCTCTAAAACTCAGTGTCCAGTGAAAGTCAATAGAAAGGAATCTAAAACACCTTGTTGCAATTAACAGTGACAAATCTTTTACTCCGTACTCCAGACTCCTTCACTAGGCTATTTTTCCTGCACGGGTGCAAAGCAATTTGGTTAATGATCTTAAGCTAATAATTTGCAGCAGAATCAACAGTATGATGTTCAGGGTACCTTTGAGATGTCCTTCAACGTTACAGATGTGAAACTAATTCAGTTCCACGACAGCGATCGCCACACTCGTTACTTACTCCACAAATTAGTACTTAAAAAAGAATGGGTACCCATCTGCTGAAATTTCAAATCTGGTGATGTTAACTCTGAATAGAAATAAGATTTTGGGGTGGTTTTTTTTTCTTTTGATCTTAATGATTGTTTAGTTGCACAGCGACGAGGGTACCCACACCATCTCGCACAGACACACTACAGAGTTATTACAGTTACAGAATATTTCTTTCTTTCTGCTATTCTGTTCTGTTGTCTTATTTCTTTGAAAGGAAGCACTGTCTAACTTCTTAATGAGTGGCTGAAGAGCACACTAAGAAGGTTAACTGTATTTATAGCAAGACACTGCTTCCATAGATCTTCATGGACAGCTTCTCCCAGGCATGGCAACTACAGTTTTCCCCTTCATCATCTGGGGAATCAAGCTGAAGTACAGACACTTCATATTATTTTGATTAAGAAATGACCTTTCTCCCTTTTACAACCAGGTGAGCGAACTTTTATGTTAAGATTTTTTTTTTTTTTAATACAGGCTGTAAGCATTATTACACCAGTGGTAGGATTAATTTACATCTTGTGTCATAATTTAACATTATATCTATTCAATTTTAGTGTATCAATTCTATGAAAGCCTTTCATATGGTCTCAGTGACATTTTTAGCCTCTCTTCAAAACTGTTTGGGTTTAGTGGGGGTTTTTTTGTTTGTTTTGATTTTAAAGATGTATATGTATCTAAATTACTCTGACTTCGGCTGAAAAGTCAGGACTGTGCATTATTTTGCAGTGAAATGCTGTCTTCTGCATTTTTAGATCATCAGTTTAATAATTATTATTTCCATGTACCACTGGAATGCAGCCATTTCTGGAGTAAGACAGACCAGCCACTTACAGAAACTGTAGTAGTATGTGTTGGCCAACTGAACTGACAGGGGAGCTGAGGTGCTGTGCTGTGAAAGGTATTTGTGTTGTCTGGCATATCTGATCTAGTTTGTTATTTCCCTTGGAGAATTCGTGATGAAGCCTGGCAGTACATCACAGCATTTATCATCAGTCTTTTGTTATAATTTGTAGAAATTCTCACAAAGTGGAGTTTAGTGTTGACATTTTATACTGTGATTTCTTCAGGGATTTCTAATATGTGCGCAGGACAAATGCAGACTCCTGACTGATCTTTTTAAAGTGCTCAGAGGAAAGTCCAAGCAGTCCTGAGTCAGAGCAGTCCTGTTCTTTGCCAGATGCACTGACCTGGCACTGCAGCCTTGCTCTCCTTGCCCCTGAAAGGCACCTGGAATTAGCCAGTGAACCAGACTTCAGTGAGATCACTGCACTTGCAATAGAAAATTAAAGCAAGTACTTCTTAGTGAAAGGGGTTTGTGAGCAGGTTCCACTGATGCCTCGTTGCAGACTGGCAGCACCACCCTGTGCCAGCGGGGTCAGGACTGACGGGCACAGAATCACGGGGTGCTGAAAGGCCACAGTGCTGGGCTGGAAATGCATGGACAGGTGAGACTTCTAGCAGCATAAAGATTGCTGATGTAAAACAAACCTGGATGTATTCATAGTGCATCATGTGGCTGATGTGATTTTGGTCCAGCAGCAGAATTTCTGAAGACCGTTTCCCTGTATCATCACTGATCCTCAGGGGGACACCTTAACCAGGACCTTGGGTCTGAGTCCTGCACAGGGCTGGAGGCACAACAGGGCTGTAAAATGTGCACAAGCTGCTACTTTATAGAACAGCTTCCACTGGCAGAATTTGTGTGCTCCTTCTACCACTTGTGGCCCACACCCTGCGTGACCCAACAAATGAGACTGATCCTGTGTGTCCACATTCTGGGTGAGACCTTTGGTGGGGATTATTTAGGAAGCTGGTTTACTGTAAAATTGGGATTCATGTCAGAGAGGTAAAACAATCTTAATTTGAGTTGCACAGAAAGTTCAATTTAGAAGCTAGTCACTGTGAGAATGCTGTTCTTCTATTAATTTGGGGGGAACTTGAAAAACAAATTAAAAGTCATGTTTTCCAGTACTACTTTCTTCAGATTAATTTCATGCCAATTATTGCATTACTTTTAGCTGATAAATATTCAGAGACTAAAAGAAACCAACAAGATGGATTAATTCTCCCACACTACAAACAACATTTTTTAATATTTTACATAACATAATTAAACCCTTTTTGTTGTTTTCAGAATGAGATTGTGGGACACCTTAATTAATTGCTTTAAGAGGACTGAAGACACGTTGCAGAGAAAAAAAAAAGATTAAAAGATTCAGATATTTATCTGTAACGTTAACTGTGTTGGCTAATAATGGTTCCAAAATAAAATCCTACCTGCAGAAATCCGGTGGCACCATGCCATAAACATTTATCCTGTCACAGAGCTCTAATGCGATAGTCATTGTGAACCAGCCCGTGCTAAGCCAAGTGTTGGATATCTTCCTGAAAGCAAAAACATAATTAAGTTTCTAAGCTGACAAACAATTCTTGAGATTTATTTATTTGTTTCCTGAAAAAATTCCAAACCGGTTTCTTGGCATTTTTTTTCACTCTCATGAAAGGCTACGAAACTTGGGCAACCACAACTACTTTGCTCGTTCATCTTGTACTGATTTTGCTTAGTGTCACCTGTCAGTGGCCTAACCTATGCAGAAACTGCCCTAGCTGTAATTAATTTCGGGCACAACAATGTTAATATTTAGCTGACCTTTTGGTGAATTTACTTTAAGTGACTGAAACTTCATGTCCTGTATTTATATTCTGCTGCTAGTAATCTGTACACATCTGTAATCGCTTAATGGAGCTTGCACACTAAGTGCTTGGGAAGATGCATCACGGGGAGATGAAGGGGCTGCTTAAAATGCTGTTCCCACAGCACACAGAGGAGCCCATCTGCTTGAGTGACATCTGGCCTGGAGTGTTGTAACTCTTTCCTCCCACCCCACCCATGATTTGGGTTCTAGAAGCTCCCAGCCACTCGCTGTGACTGCTGGCAGGAAGCTTATTTGGCTGCAGCTCTGCCTTTGTCCCATTGCCAGCCTGGGAAACCTTCATCCTGGGAACTACCCCTCTGCCAGCCCCCAGTGCCATCCCTGCCTGGGGGGACCTTTGATATGACTGACAGAGCACTGCCAGGGAGCCCTCAAAGGCAGCCCCTCGCCTGGCCTTCTCTGCAGGCTGGGAGATGGCTTTCAAAGCAGCTCAGCTGATCTCAGCATTATTTATGCAAAATAGGAGATATCTCCATGTAACTGCTCACAGATGTAAGGGATTTGCAAGTCGGGTTTAAAATTTTGCTGTGTCACAGGTTCTTAGCTGCAAAATGGCAACAGTAACGTTTCCTCTTCCTCTCATTTGCTTGCCAATGCTGTTTAGTGCATAAGAGCTGGGCCCTGTAGTGGTTGCTGGTTGCCTGGCATGTGCACTGGAATTCCCAGTACTGTGTTAAGTTCCTGCACTGGCTCTGTGCCACTGGAGAGCTGGCAGTGTTGGAATGGGAAGATCAAGGAAATGCCAGCGAGGAGCACGTCTTAAAGGTGTCATAAGGGCATGTTAGGGACTGGCACCTCTCTTAGACATGGAGGCACATAAAGTAGGGTATTTGCTCCAGAGAAAAGGAGTTCACTCAAAGGTCTCCTTTCAAATACTGTTAAAGACAGCAGGTCTCCCTAATGGCTCCTCACTCAGCTAGAAAAGTCCCGCAGGAAGAAGTTCAAGCTTGTGTCATCTGCAGCCCAAAAAGGGCTCGGATTCCTGCTGACAGCCTGTCACGGTGACTGGCTCTCCCTTCATCTCCTACTGAAGCCGAGGCAGTGTGGGAGCAAGGGCAGGCTCCTGGAAGGCATGGGCACTGTATCAGATTGGATTAATATGGAACCTACATTAACCCCCTTCCCCCACACCTGTATCTGCCTGATACCTGGGAAACTTTGTGACATCACCCCCACCGAAAAAAAGCACAGCAGGAAACACGAGGTTCTCTTTGGACGAGTCCCCTGGGAATCCCAGGTTCTGACCCAAGTTCCAAGGCCATCTTTTACAGTTTACCCAGTGACAGCACTGTGTGGAACAGTCCTGGAAGCAGGGACCTGAGGCCACAAAAGCCACTGCAAGCAAGTGCCAGCAATCACTAACATCTAATTCAGGCAAAAAGAGCCACCACACAGCTTCCCAAGCTAATGCAAAACAAGCTGGTTCCAAGTAGGTCACCTACAGGGCAGTAGGAGGGGGATGTTTAGAGCACTGTCAGGTTGAGGAATGCCTTGTACCAAATTTCCCATTTCCTCGGGGAATTAGAACTACTGCAAAGAAAAAAACCAAGTGGCAGTACCAGTGCTGGCTGATTGAAAGATACTTCTAAACATAAGGGAATTCTTTAACCAAATATGCCTGAAGGATGCTGGGGAGCCCAGTTTATTAGTCCTGTCCTTTGTGGGTCGCCTGGTAACATGTGAACTCCTGAAACACACATTTATACTGCTCCTGACATACTGACTTTCAGGCTATAAGCTGGCATTTGGACAATGTTTTAAGCACCTCATTATTTCCAATTATGGGCCCTTATTTATTTTCTGACTCTGCACAGAAGCTCAGGGTTGGTGGTGCAGTTTGTCACAATGTCATAGCTGGGTCAGAAGCTCAGCAGAGACCTTCAGGCACTGCAACAATATAAAACAGTAAATAAGAATTTTTGGCTCAAAATTATTAGGAAAGGGAACAAATAGGGAAAAGCTTACAAAACTTGCTTCTCTGCCACCTAGGAGTTTCTGAGCTATGAATCACTAGGTAATTCAGGAACATGTTCAGGCTAAAAGTACTCTGGAGCTTGGACAAGGCCACTGTTCCAGGTGCCTAACACCTTCCATTCCAAAACCCAGGGAGCAATTGTAGCTGGACCATGACCAAAGGCTTTGCACAGGTCAGGCAACCCAGCCAGGCTGTCTCTTGGGTTAGTTTTCTTTTTGCTTACACACACTTACTTACACTGTAATTTATTGTTTTTGATAAATAGGAGAATAACTGAATATAAATAAACCAGCTTAAAAGCTAAACAATCAAATAAAGATTAAAAAATTTATTTAAGTACCACTTTGGCCTCTTTAAATACCATGTCCGTAGGACAGCAACACAGAAGTGGGGTTAAAGTGTCTTGCCTTTTCATAAAAGATCTGAGCAAGAGTCCAACAAAAGAATACTGCTTTTATACCCAATCAGCTGTAATGAAAGAATATGAAACACTGTCATGTGCTTATTAGGGGAAATTATCAGATATTCTTTTATATGATGAACTAACACACAGCGCTGATAATTCTGTAGTGCACACTAAATTACAATTAAAGGCCTTTCTGCTCCACCAAAATCTCATTTATAATCTCTGTGGAAATACCCTTCCTGCCGTTATTTCATTTATGCTTCTTTTATCTAATTACTATAATATTGGTTCTGAATCATATTTTCTTAATGTACCCTTATTCAATTATAAAGTTATTTTCAAGTATAGTTACTTTATAATGCCAAGTATATCGCTCTGCAGCCTTTGTCTTTCACCACACTATTTAACTGGCAATGTTTTCTGAAGGTCTCTCTTCATTTCAAAATCAGCTTTTTTCTGAAAAGCACAATACATCCAATTACCTTTTTTCTCATCACTTTCAAGACAGAAATGAATAGTCTGATTATTGTAACCTTGCAATCATGCTTCTCTCTCCCTCCTTTGTTTTTCGTAGGCACTAATGCCAAAGGCTCAGCAGAAACCTCCCAGGGAACAGCAGCATTCTGGGCTATACAAATGTTCTGCTCCTGCCCCCACAGACACATAAATTTTCTCCCCTTACGAATTCCTTCCTATCCGTGTTTCTCTTCATCTTCCCTCTCTTCTGTGCTGCTTATTCATTTATTTTCATCTCCTGTTTTAATCTTCTCAGTCCTTCAAGTATGCTGTCTGTGCCCTCCAAAGGAGTAGTTCACACACACAGCAGAGCCTGCAGTTTATTAAAATCAACAGGGCCTGTTCCCCAGGCTGAATTTTGCTGGCATCTGAGTGCCCTTGACTCACACTGGGAATTCAGGGTGCCCATGACTGAGTCCAGTATGAACTTGTTACAATGTCATTAATGGCTCAAATGCCCCGAGAATACTTCAGGAGCCAAGTCTGGTGCCCGTGCAGAAAAAGAAATGCTTTGATCACGCATTCACTACAGGCCTCTGGCTCTGGATGGCTGATGCAGAACCAGAAAGAGCAGCTTGCCTGAAATGGCACAGCATGTGTCAGAATAAGAACAGGAGCCTGGCAATGCCAGGGAAGGAATGGGACCCTGGCTCCCTGTGGCAGAACTGGCCAGGCTGAAGCAGGGGAGGTGAACTGTTCCTCAGAACTGGGGACTGCTCGAGATCCTACACTGAAAGCCTAATCCAGGAAAGGAGCTTTCCTTGGGTTACAGTGCAATTACAGCTTTGTTGGTTTTCATGCCTTCGTAAATACTGAGCATAAAGATAACCCTTTACACTTTTCTTGAAGGGTTCAAATGCTTAATTCACCTTCTCACTTCACTTTACTCTGGAAAAGACTGAAACACATCGCAAGTGGCAGGGTACCTCCCCTATCTCTTCCTTTTTCTTCTGACAGAGACCCGAATACACCAATTTGAGGATGAAGAGAAAAGGACCTTGACTGGTAAGAAACTAAGTTGCTCTGTGCTCCAGTATGAGGGCAAGTCAATCACAAACTCAGATCCATCCTTTGATCCGCTGTAACAGAGCAGAGTTTGCAAGCAAACCATGTGGGGTGTGACTAAGGCAGCAAACGCCAAGCAAATGATACAAGTTTCCTGTACCACTGGTTCTTGCCTTTCTTGTGTAGCCCAGAAATTAATCCTGTGCTCTTGAGTCTTCCCTGTCCACAAGAGGATTGAGCCCCGTTTCAAGCTTTGGTGTCTGTGCATTGTATTTGTAAGCTAGAAAATCTCACCATGAGTTACTGCAGAATATACTTCCCACTTCATTTGTACCTAAGTGGGGACCCTGTTTTCCATTTTTACAGCAGCATATTTAATAAGTAAAAAAATAGAAGTTCATTAAAAATAAATGTCTTTCTTGCCGTGAAGTGTTTGGTTTGAATGCCCATTTTCAAACATTGTATGTGAAAATACTCAAGTCCTGCACTGGGTCACTTACTAAAAATTTGATTTGAAGATCAGCCTACAAGTCTCATAAACAGTCTCATAAAGATGTAACTATCATAATAACTTTCCATTTTCCAGTTGCAAATATAAGATGAACTGTTCTGAAGCACCTAATGTATGACTAATGTTTATTTGTTTTACAAGAAGCGTTACAGCTGCAATGTTCCAAGAATGCTTAAATTCAATAAACAGCTATTATAATTCACTGAATGGTGGCATTTCCTCTATAAGAAAACATAACCTATCCATTTTAATTTTTCAGAATCAGTGAAAAAACTTTAAGGTATATTACCCCAAAGTGAGATTTAAACAGCTCCTGCCTCCTTGGCTGTATAAACAGCACATCCAGATTCTGGTACTCTGAGTTGGTGAGGCAATAATATTCCATACAAATCACTTTGATGCCTATTTTTTACTTATGTTACCAGTGATCCTATTTGACGTGTCATACCACATTACGACTCACGAGGCAGAGGATTTAATGGGTGTGATTGTCCCACTGAGCAGCTCTGAAATGCCTGTATAATATAAACCAGATTACTTTTCTCCCGTATAACACCGCCCGGCCGCACCCACGGTAAGTTCTCACCTGTCCTTCCCGGTTTCCCGTTTGAACAGGTCATCAAACTGAAGCATCTTGTGGCGAGAAATCATGTACACTTTTAACCGTGGCAGTATCTGGTTCATCAGCTGCAGGTTGTTGTACACCAGGCCCTTGCCGTCCCTGCGCATGTAGCTGCTCGGCCCCCAAAAGATGAACACGGCACCGTGGCTCATGTTCAAGAGTTCGTGGCGGTTCCGCAGGATCCTCTGGATGCTGGAGTGGGCGATGACCCGCAGGCTCGTTTTGTTCCCGACGTCTCTTCCGTAGCCCCGGGTGGGTGCGTCGTTCATCCGGATCACGCACTCGGCCTCGTCGATCCTGTCGCCCTGTTTGCCGCCCAGGAGGTGCCCGGAGCTGGTCACCAAGGCACAGCTCTTGCAGTGCATCTTTAACGGCTGCAGAGACACACAGACCTCAGGATTAGCTGTAGGCATCTTCCTTTTCACTGCATTACTGTATTTTATGCAGAAATGGCACATTTTACAGCAAAAGTCACAAGGGAATTTACGTAAATCACTCCTAGCAGTGTTCCCAACTAGCTGGGGATGCGTTACCTGGACGTTTTGTAGATGGGAAAATGTGGTATAGGTGTATTAGCCTTTAACGTTCCTCTGTGGAGTTGAGCCCATTGTGTAAATCCTCCTTTCCACTGTCTACACAGAAATGACAACAGCTTCTATAACTGTTCCCAGCTGCTTAGGACTGTACTTCTTCCACTTGCCATAAACAAGCTACAATTGGAGTATTTTTTATTCTTCCTCTTCCACTTTTTTTTCAGGAAATAATAAACCCTAAGTCCTCCTAAGTTCATGTGCAAGTAGCTTTTCAACCCTGGGGTCAGGACATTGTGCTAAGGGAAGAGAGTGATATCGTGGCCCAATCCTTCCATGGTATTTGCAGGTTGGTCCCATAACCACTGCAGTGCTCTTGTACCTCCTTTATGGTTCAACACTCAGAGCTGGTCATTAATGTCTGTGTGTACTTGGCATGACAGTGAGTTAGTACACTGAACTTTTTGTAGCTTGTCAGGTCATGTTCAAAAGTTAGACAGTAAAATGGAACAGGAGGAGCCTGCTCAGTGAGTGCTGACCTAATGGAAGAAGGACAGTAAAACAAGCTTTCATGGAAATGAAAATGCATGATAAATCATATTACTGGTGTATGCCACCTATACAGGTATCAATTAGAGGAGTATGTCACTACCTACTGCTCAGCAAGAGAACTAAAAAGGAGTTAAGGGTTAACAATATCCCCAAAGTGCTACTTTCTAACAAGAATACAATGAACTGTGAGGTAAATAAAGACTGTTTGAAGCTGTGCCTTGGTGGCCCTCCATGAAATAGTATCTTGCACTTGCTGTGTATCTTACAGTTTCTCTGAAAAAACAACAACAAAAAACAAACACCACACAAACCCACCCTCCCAACAAACAAACAAACAAACAAAAACCCCACCACAAAAAAAAAAAAAACAAAAAAAAACCACCAAAAAACCAAACCAAAACAGGCATAGAAACTGAACTGTGGTTGCTCAATCATTTTGATCTACTGATCTTCTTCCCTAAGGGTGTCCATCAGATTTTTCTTCTCATCCTTAACCCTGAAGGATGGCATTCCAGTACCTTCCTGGTGAGTAACAGGCTTGTTTAATTCAGACACACCACTTGCTGCCAGCAGTTGTCCCCTGCACTGTGGCACTGGCCTGATCCTCTGGTGTGCTGAGGAGGTGACAGGATCCACTGGCTCTGAGGAGTGTGAGCAACCTAAACCCATCTTGCACCCTCAGCACCTCGAGGCCAAACCCTGTGGCTCTCCATGGGATCCCATTGTTCACACCACCACAAACACAGCCAGCACGTCTCCAGGTGTAAACCCGGGAGGTTTATTAGCAATGAGGAGAAGTTCTGGTGGCACATAATCACCCTTCCTATCAACCACGTGTATCAAGTGACTAAATCAGTCTGCAGGGAGGCTCAGCTTAAAGCTCTAAAGCTGAAAAGGACACATAACCCTAAGTTTGACATCATCTCAATCCCCTGTTTGAAAATGCTTTGGCCCCTAGAATTTGATGGGAATGTTTTACTGTTGTAACTTATGTTTAATTTTGGAAGTAATAAGTGGTTACTACTGCATTTTGAGGGTTTTTTTTTCTATGAGAAGACTGCTTTTTAATTGAGGAGAAAATAACTAAACTATACAATCTGTGCAATGATACAACCAGCAAGTCTTGTATCTCCATCTCCCCCAATCAGCAAAATCCCTTTTCTTTCACATCTAAGGACTATAATCCAGAGCTAATGATATGGGTAGAAGTGTTCATGCCTTCATGAGCCAAGGTTCCTAATGCAGTATTTACATGCATTTTCCTTTAAGCTTTCACCTGCCACTTTGATGAATTACCCAGCAAAAGGCTCTAAGGTGAACTAGCTGCTCCACCAGCATGCTTGGGAAAGCAAGATGAAGTGCTAATGAGGTTAAAGGAAATGGAGTCAGCACCAATGTTAACTCACACAGGTTTGAATATCCACACAGCAAAGCATTTTCACCCATACAATCTCTGCTGGTTTCTGGCCTATTGAGCTACAACATCCCTGTTTCTTTTTAAAAAGCCTGCCACAGAATCCATCAACTGCTGGGAAACAAGGGCGACCATCAGCTGAGATGGGGAAACTTGGGGAGGGGGGCTGAAGGTACAGAATAAACATTAACACCTCCCAGAACATCTGTCCCAGATCTTGTTTGAAAAATGTTCCTACTGGTGAACAGTCTTTTAGATGAGACATTCAGGTATTGCCTGGTTACTTCCTGAATGATGCACGGGGGCTGAGCCCCTGCAGCTGCTCCAGGCAACTCATTTTCAGTCGCCTTGCTCAGATTCTTTCACTTGGAGGCTACAAAACTCACACCTCAAAACTGTCAGAGGAATTCACAGCCAACAGCCACAACATTCTCACACCAGCTGTTTATAATGCTTTGACAATATTGAAAACAAGGGGGGGAAAAAAGCTATAGGCTGTAATACCCATAGCATTGGGAGGCAGCGGTGGCACCAGGAATGTCATGTATTTAAGCAATAATAATGGAGGCACAAGGCAGTTCTCTGGGATTGATGACCAGCTAGGAAAAGTTGATGGCCTGAGAATAACCAGGGGCCATTAAGCCAGAAGAACATTAACTCCACAGAAAGTGCTCTGTTACAGTAATTATTACAGTGATATTTTGGAAAAAAAGCAAACCGGGGAAAAAAAAAACCACAAACCCATGAAACACACGAGTTATATTTCAGGAGCCTGGCTTTAAAATGCCCAGAGAAGGGACAGGGTGAGAGGTAGGTGAGTTTTATAGTACCTGTATTAATATAGTACCTGTATGAAGTACCTTGAAGTGTGGGTACCTGTTAAGTGGGTACCTGAACCACAGGTGCAGCACCTCGTGTGACACGGCAGAGCTACTGCTGCAACACAAGTGGGGGCACTCAGACAGGGAACGAGCCAAGTTTTGGCCAAAACAGTTGCCCAAATCACCTCTCAGTTCCAGTCACCTCCAGACTCATATGGAGAGAGCTCACAGTGCAAGAGCCCCAGGAGATGGCAAAATCAGAGGGTGCTTTTCCAAGACAGAAGGGCTATCCCAAGGGAATAAAGGAACAGGTGAATATCGTTATGGATAAACCCCATAACAGCACCTTAGTGGCCACAACAAACCAGTGCAACCCTGCACTGCTACAAGTACCACAGGCAGAGCTGACTCCTGGCAACTTCCACTTCCATGGATTATAGCCCAGGAAGTGCTGCTGCTCTTTCACATGAGCCTGATTTGGTTAATACCCACAAACACACAAACAAAACCAAAAAACAATGCCACAGTCGTTTCTGTATTTTCCAATTTGAGGCAATTTGCACCGTTATTGACTTTAAAATCTATGTTGCCCAATGATAGAAAAATGTTATTTTCAGACACTTTAGTGCTCAAGTGCTTGAAAAGGATCAATGGGAAAATGTTTTCCTGATTCAAAACATGTTACTCTCAGATATAATTATTTTCTTTGTGATGAAATCAAATGATAATTTTTTTTTTCCTTATAGAAGTCTTTTGATTTAGAAGATTTAGAAAAGACAAAACCAGGAACACTGGAAAATCCGCTTTTTTCTATACTATTTGATAACCTACTTTCAAGACCCCTGGGTTCAGATCACCCCATTATCAGTAGTATTAAAGTTTCCTTTCTATAAATAAAAAACAGAGTATTTTATCTTGGCAATGATGACCTCTCCAACAACAACAACAACCAAATCAAACTAAACAAACAAGCAAAAAAAACCCCCAAACTCAAAAACCCCAAACCAAAACAAGAAAAAAAGACCTGGAGAGAGGAACAGCTCATTACTGAGTTCAGCACAAAGAGACCACCTGTCAGCTCGTGAACACAAGCACTCCTCATAGATACATCTGGAAATATTACAGATGACTTCGAAGTGTATTGGGAGAGAGCAAGAGAGATCGAGAAAGGTTAAAGAACACCCAAATTCGTTTTGGATGGATGACCTTTAACTGAGCATTTGAGACTGAAAGTGCAAAATGTTTCTCTTGCACTGCAACACCTCTGCAGCACGTTGTGAGCCAGCACCAGCATATTGTGAGGCAGCACCAGCACACCTGCCTTCTGTCTGAGCTGAGATGAAAAGCTGTGGGGCAGCTTCTCTCTGCATCAACTACCTGAATCAACAGCCCACCCTGCAAGAGCTCCCAAAGTGAGACAGTAAAACCAGTGGTGCAAATAAAGACTGATGTACAGGAAAGCAAATCTGTTTCCGATTTCAACTGAACTAATTCACTGTAAGGCTATATTAATGGTTGGAAAAGGACACAAAAACACTGTAAGAGACAGTCCTAGTGGTTCAGGAGAAGTGACCTTATTCGAGAGCAGCCTGGCTTTCTCTGTTACAAAGCAGGTGGTTTCATGGGCAGGAGTTTCCTGGCTCCCCTCCCTGGTGCCCATTGTGCCTGGCCTGAGCACAACAGTTTTTGATACTCACTGTATGGTACCTCAGTGTTTGCTTTTCATATTCCTTGCCTTGTGCAAGGAACTGAATCAACATCTCACACGTGATGTTACTGAACCCCGAGTTCACCCCACATTCAATGCAATTTATTACTTATGGCCTGTTCTTGATTGCTGGGTCAGCAGCCACCAGCAACAACACTAAATAATTAAGTCTTGGCCAGTAATACAGTATTTTGTCCTGGCAGCTTCAGTTCTTTTACTTTCTGGTAGCTTTGAGCAGCTCTGAGGTTCCTCACAGCTGCTGGCTTGGGACCACTCTCCCCTGGGCTGGCTGCTCCTTCCCAGTGCTCCTCTCCCAGAGGCTTTGAGGAGAATCCCCCTATCCCACCAG